GAACATCATGGCGACCTAGCAACGCTTCCTCTAGCGGAAACATCTGGAACTATGACGTCTTTATCTTTGAGATAACCTTCTCTCCCCTCCTCTGAAGCAGCCAATCAGTGTGATGCGGCATCCCTTTGCTGCTGAAATTGCTTAGATTAGTATTTTTAAAATATCGTACGACTTGTTAAACACCTGATTTAGTTAATTTTATTGGTTCTCATAATTATGTATAATTGCTTTCGCTTATAATAATAATAATAATAATAATAATATAATACTTATACAATGCAAACATTTAATTTATGCGGAGCATCAGTGGTGTGGCCAAATGTAAGGGCAGATGTTTTGTTATGTAGTTCGTAAGTGAGCCACCAGAGGGCAGAATTATGTTGAACCTGTGTAAATACGATTGTCAAGTTTTGTCATGCTATATTGAGAAAATAAAAAGTTAATCAGATACACTTGTTGTTATGCTATTGTCTTCGTAGTTTACCAATAAAAGATTCTCGTCCGCGTAGTTTCAACATGCACGATCACATCTTATTTTCTCACTAATGGTACAACTTAAAACTATTCACTCCTGGGGTGAAAGGTCTGGTTTGTTTTAAATTCCCCAAAACCTTAAAGAGAGTTATCTGCACTAGCCATTCCTAATTTAGCAGTGAAAGACTAGAGAGAAAGCAGCTAGTCATCACTATCAACTCTTGGGCCACTCTTTTACAAACGAATAGTGGGTTTAACCGTTACATTATAACGCACCCACAGCTGAAACGGGGCGAGCATGTTTGTGGGACAGGGATTGGAATCCGCGACCTTTAGAGTACGAGTCAAGTGCCCTAACCACCTGGCCATGCAGGGCCAAATGTGAAAGGATACAACAGCGTTTCATCTCCCCTCATGTCTTCAAGCGCTGGCATCCTTTACATAGAGGTTAGGCTCCATTATTACAACTAGCAGAAACTCCGCCCGCTGACGATTGTACACCCCCTACGGGCAGCTGTTTATGCTGGTAATAGTTAGTAATCGTAGTGTTCATACCTCACTGTTAATTTTAAAAACAGTAAACAATTTATAAAGTATTTCTTTTTCTAGAAAGTACTGCCCGAGAAAAGTGTTCGAATTGTGCGCTTTAGTCATAAGTAACTAATTGCATCAAAATGATTCAATGTACTGAACTCGTAAACTTCAGTGTTTTTATATATTAAAAGTGCCACGCTTTATTGAAAAAGTAATTAGTTTTCATAAATAATAACAGTTTCTCAATACTACTCTTAAAAAAATTACATCAATAAAGGTAATTATTATTTTGGCACTTGTGTACAAAGTTAAAATCTTAAATAATATGCAACGTTAAACTGGTACAGAATTAAAAACATTTTATTTAGGCCTATCTATGGCCTTCAAAAAGTTGACGACTCCACATGTTTCGACGTTACAACTTCATCCTCAGGAGTGAATTACAAGACAATTGCCAAAGTATTTATAACGTTTTAGTAGGTCATTGACCTGTATGTTATTTTTCATACATTCACGCTAAACCATTCAAAGGAGATCAATCCACATTCTTGCAGAAATATTCGCCAAACCTTCATCTCTATTTAATACAACATGATATATTTTGTTATATTTCTAACGATTCACGAATATTATTACCTATTACACTTTTATGTTGAGCTAATATTAGTTTTTTCCCATAATATTGTGTGTTGTGTTTCCTGTACATGTTCTGCTATGGTTGAATTTTCAGTTTTTTTATTTTTTACATATCCCTTATGCTCATTTAAGCGGTATTTTAAATTAAGTTTCGTCTGACCAATGTAAATACTTTCACATTCTATTTTATATATTCCAGTTTTTTCAGTTAAATGTATTTCGTCTTTCGTAGTACCCAAGATTTGATTCATCTTATTTATCGGTTTAAATATAGGGTAGAATATCAGTTGTTTTTTGAACACTTTAAATAAACTAGTAGTTAAACCTGGAACATATGGTAAGATTAAGCCTTCCTTTCTGATTTTTTCATAACTAGGTTTTAAAGTACTAATTTGATCAATTATTATAGTATTAGTGAATTTCTTAATTGCTCTATCTATAAGATCTGGGTTAAAACCTCTTTCGACTGCTATATATTTAATTAATAACAATTTGTTTTTTAAATCATTTTGGTTAGTACATATCTTCAAAGTTCTGTTAACATAACTATAAAACGCAGACATTTTTTGTGACTTAGTATGACATGATTCTTGGTGTGGGGGCATAAGAACAGAAAAAGGTTTCCAGTAAACTGATGTTTCTAAATTACCTTGTACGTTCCTTTTCACCAATACATGTACAAAAGGCAAACTATTATTTTTCTCAATCTCAAACGTAAATTGTATAGATGGTTCAATGCTGTTCAAATAGTAAGCAAAGTCTGTTAATGCCTTATTACCATATTTCCACACCAAGAATGTGTCATCTACATACCTTATCCAAATATCAGGTTTACATTTTGCATTATTTATGGCTTTAGTTTCAAATACATCCATATATAAATAACATAATAATGGTGAGAGTGGTGATCCCATAGCTAACCATTCATTTTGTTTATAGAGATTATTGTTAACTTGAAAAAATGGATTCGTAACACATACTTCAGTTAACTATATCTATAGTTTCAACTGCTGAAATTTTATTTTCTAACAATTTTGTTTCAAAACGTTTAATTGCATCTCCTACTGGAACTTTTGTAAATAGGGATACAACATCAAATGATACCGTTACGTCTCCGTTTGTTAATTAACTTTCCGTAACTTCGTTCC